GAATCTTAAAATTGAAATAAATAGAAATAGAAAGTAAATTGAATATAAATATGCAAAGTAATTGAGACCTAACAACACTGTGGTTATAATGAGCAAACCCATTGAATCAAAAAGCTAATAGAATGGGCTGATCAATAGTCCCTCAATCGATGGGAAATGAAAAGTTAGACCAATGATCGATAGTATCCATCGATTATTTTAGGAAAAGTTAGATGGATATCAGACGCCATCAATGGGATCAGCGCTGAGTTTAGGGATTTGCTCTGTACTGTAGTTATACATTGGACAGTCATGTACTTAACAACAATTTTATTACTTCAATTGAAACCACTACCTAGATAATTTGTAGATAAACCAAAGATTTGAAAATAACAATACACACATTAAACCTTATTATATTTAAGTATATATAATCAATTGAAATCATTAGAGAAGTTCAAAACAAAACACTTATTTTGCTTTCTAAATCATCCAAAGTTCATTTTATTTCTGTTTTTTTTATATATATTTAAGTAATTTTCTCCTCACTGTATAAATGTATGCATAGTTATGAATAACAATACTATATACAAATAATAACAAAATATTTAATATAAGTAGCTGAGGGAAGGCAAGTGAAGGAAATTAACTATGAGGTCAACAGTATTTCAATTAAGAAACCCTACAGAACCAACCAATTAGCTTTGGCCAAACCCTATTCACTAAATCCAAATTAAAAATTATCTTCATATTAGCAAGTAAGCTTACCTTTCTTTCAGTTGGATATTCTGTATTTAAATCATGCATATTCAGGTGAATATATTAAAACTTAAACACACATACACAGCACAAAAAGTTTCAATACTTTAGTACTTCCTTAAAACTTCAAAATTTAAATAATGAAACAATTAACAAACTATCACAACTAAAATTTTCTACAGTACCTATCTTGACTACATAAAACTTAATGCAACAGTGTTGTAAATTAGCCATTATATAAAACAAATGTTAAAACTTCATTCTAAATTAGTGTATCAGAGTTTAAATTTTATTTTATAATAGAAATATATTAATTAATATTTAATTAATTTGATGAGTTTTATCATTTTGGATTATTTTTTTTCTTTTATATCCATATATTGAATGTGCTATTAATTGTACAATAGTTGGATAAAAAATATATTTATAGATTTTTTTCTTGCAGTTAAATTAAAATTTAGAAAAACAGTCTAGACAATCACAAAATGGTATATACAGAATTTTCTTCACAGAATGGAAAGAGGAGGGAAGATAACTAACTACAACTTTAAGTAAGGAAATAGTCTACTAATGATTCTTATCATAAATAATAGGTAATAAAGAAAATTCATCTATTTATATACATTTATACAGTTTCTGTCTATTTTTCAGGGCATAAATACTCAGAATGACTAACATAATGAGGGTTCAAAAAAAAAAGTATATTTACCAGGAATTTCCATGTATTTTTTAAAAATAAAAATACTGAATACAATAGTATGTTTTATAAAAACCGGAATCCTCATATCTTTTTTTTAATGATGCTGTTGTTAATAATTATTTCATCATAGGTCGTTTAGATTTTTTTTTAACAGATTGAATGCTACAGCAGTGTTTTGACTTCTCATTAGTGACAATCAAAGGGGTACAAGTGATTAACTAATTTTGATTAAAAGATGGTTAAATTTAAACATCTCCTTTTTTAATATTTTAGATTTTACCTTTAAAAAAAAAAAAATGAATGTTATTTTTAGAATGATACATTGCACTGAAGCCCCTTTTCACTGATGTGTTTATGGTATTAAAAGGGCATGTCAATTTATCTTACCTTATCAAATTTCTGCGATATTAATGTTCATTGGTTGATCAGAGATGTTATTTATGAAAATGTATTCCATTTCAATATTGAGGTCTCACATATTGTTGTATTTTAACTTATTAGATTTCTTCAATACATGCTAAGATTCATTATTGGGTTATCAAATGCACTTTTTATGAAAATTCTATAGATCTTGAAATTTCATCATTGTAAATTGATTCTATTGTCTTAAATAATTAGGTCTATTATAAGCGCTTTTAATGAAAATACTTAAGATCAGACTTTCATGCACAACCATTTAATTCAGGAGTCTCCACCTAAGTTCCACGAGCCATGGCTTGTGATGTAACTCGAAAATCTTTTTCTATAAATAATATTTTGATTCTGAAATGAGCTTTCTAAGGGGAAATATCCATGCAATAAATGTTGTAATAATCTCATGTGTAATTTTGCTAAATTTCATATTTTTAAATAGGCTTTAAAATTTTACCATGAAATCAAAGGAACTTATGAAGGTGCTTGCCAGCGGGATGTAGTTTGGAGACCCCTGATTTAATTGATAATAATTTTAAAAACTATATATACGACAATCAAATAACAAATTTGAAAAATTAATAAAGAAATCTAATATTTTAAAAAAATAAATATATTTTCTTAAAATTGTTTATAACTTGATAAAATTCACTTCTCATATCCGTACATATATTATTACAGTAAGGCTCGAAATCGGTTTTGTACCAAATATAAGCTCCTGTCATGCTCAAATACCATGAATGGGATACTGTTGGATTCAGAATTTCACAGGGGGTTAGCGAATTGTATTCTCCATTTTTGTTTTTCTTTCTAAAATAAATAAAGACGATACAAACATTTTGCTAGGCTTCAATACCTGAACAGTGGTAGGTCTGTAGATCGATACGGGACAAATTGGATCTAGAAGATTTTGATGCGTACAGCAAGACCCAGATAGTTCCTCCGGAACTATCGAATCCTGCGTTTTTAAGCCTAAAAACATACTATTTTCGAGATAACGCAAGGCATAGAGTTCGCATGCACACAACCATACATCAATTGTAGTACTGTCATTGAATACATGTCTCATTTCGTCGACTTGAGGTCTCTATGATCGAGAGAGGAGGGATTTCTATTATTTATCGATGGTGTTTTTGATCAGCAAGCCATATCATCATTAATTTTTCACCAAATCTCAAGATTGAGCCACCAATTTCGAAGGCTTCCTTCTCCTTCAGGCGGACAAAATAGTTCAACCATCCCGAAAATTCAGGCAAAAAAGTTATAAAAGAAAACAAACTTTATTTGCGAATACCTAAAAAATTACACACTTTTCCCTTGCCCGAGTAAGATTACTAAATACCCTACAAAAGGAAAAAAAAATCATTGAAATCAGACAATTTTTAGCAAAGATACAGCTTACTGAAATTTGTAAACATGTTGGTTCCAAACAAAAATGAAGATTTAAATTAATTTGTATATAGGTTCATTTAATTTAGGTAATATAGGTAAGGTATATTTAATAGGTTGCATTATTTTATTTTCTTATTAATCTGGCATTTGATAACAATATGCTGTGTGAATTTTTCGCACGGGCCTACTAGTCATATAATAATGGACCATAAATATCAAAGAAACATAAAAAGTTAAAATAAGTAAATATGCGAGTATGTTATCTTAAAATCAATATTTTCAATAACTAAGCATAATTTTATAACCAAGAAAAAATGAAATTGGTTTTATTAAATTAATCTATTTATTTTGTATTTAATAGTTTTTTTTATCCTTCCTCGCCTTTCTGGCTATACAGGATTTTCCCGGACCACGGGAAAGGGGAATTAATGCCAGAATTGAATGGCCGTACCTTTTGAATTTCATAAGGAAAACGAAAAGGTTTTTAATTTTAATTAATTAATATTTAATTTGGAGTTGGCAAAGAGGCCATCGCTCCAGATCCGTCCCTCTCTTTACTATTACCAGTACCAATAGTTTTTCCAGGGCCTTGCTGGATACTTTTAATACTCTGAATAATCCTGGAATTCGAAACAAACATCCAAAAGAAAGTTGTTGTAAACAATGCATTCAGAAAGAAACTGAGGGAAAATCACTATGAACAAAGGGAAGATATTTATTCAGTTCATGGTTGAACAACCATTAGGAACTCATCTTAGCTGGCCTATTTCCAAGACCCGTGAACATTTATTTCTAGAAAGAGATTAAGGTCTTGATAGAATCATATATGTCAATTTCGATCAGCTTTGACTGTACCAAATATTGGATGGAGAATCTTCCTCTAGAATACTTGCAGTTCCAGAGGAGAAATGTATGCAGAAACAAAGCCACCAGCATACTAAGGTATGTAAAACAAGTACGAAGAACCATTACCTAAAACTGTGATTACCATAAAACTAACTAAAATCACCCTTGGATTGTATTGGTAAAATCCAAAATTGATATGGCAACACCAACAGGAATAATTTACTATAGGAAATTTTAATTCAGTGTATTGCAATCTAGCAGAAATGTTTTGAAATAAAAATGATCTAGTAAATTGAAATAGTCAATAATATTAGTACGAAAATTCTCTGACAATTTCATATAATTGGAATCTCAGGTAAGAAATAGAATGTAACAAATACTTTGGACTAGAGTTAAATATTGTAATGACCATAGCTAACTGTAAACCACAACATAAACCAAAAACAGGAGTAGAGGTTTCATAAAAAATACATCAATGTCTTGTCATAATTATTTTAATTTTTGTACATGAGACTTTTAAATTGTTTATAAAACAATTGAATAATTATTACATACTCATCTAGCTACATATACATATATAAACTATTTTAAATAGAATACAGTTATTTACAAATATGGACTTAATTTATACAATTCAATTATCTTATATTTGTTCTAGATCCCTATTATATAATCACACATTAAAATATTTTTGGATGTCAATAATTAACATTCGCTTAGGCTGTACAAATGAAAATAATAATCTACAATAATACTGTGAGACTGTAATTAGGATTACAGTACTTTAGAAAATTACCTAGGCATAACAAAAACAGATACACAAATTGTACTAAAATAATAATAAAAAAACGAAAACAATAAAATTAAATACATGGGATCTAGAAGAAAAAAGAAAAAAAGACTAAAAGATGTGCTATGCTTTAGGGTCAGCCTCAAGCAGCCATTGTTCCTTATTTCTTCGGACACCTTCAGCCAAAGGATTCAGTGCATCTGAAAGCTCAGCGAATGCCTGAAAAACAAATCTATCGATAAACACAGATCCTAAGAGCCTTAGAGATACCTTATACTTGTTAGTTGATCAATGATATAAACACATGTTTACAAATGACATAATAAAGATGGCTGGTTAAATATTATATTAGACACATCAGTTTTCACCATATTATCTGACAGATATTTTAATTTTACCAAAACAATAAACATAGCATATATAACATTTTATTAGACAATTATATCATTTTGTAACAAATTATGAAACAAAATTTACTATCATTTTCAATTTTACCATACAAAATATACCTTTTTTTTTATAAAATAACTTTCATTTCTCAGCTTCCCAATGTTCAGGTGTTATAATTCATCACTATTTTTTTTCTCTCTTTTTATTTAAGTCTCATAAATATTAAAATAATTTTTGTAAAAAACTGACATTCCTTCTTCATCTATTTATTTTTCTGAGGATTTTCTTCACAACTAAATCTAAACAAGACCGCACTACATGAACAACAAGGCATTGCACCCACATAATACATGCAATAGTAACTATGATCTGAATCCCTGTCATGCTTTTTAGTATGACTATTTTTACACAGATGTGGGTCTTAAAATGGTTGCACACTGTACACATCCAAAGAGGCAAAGTAAAGGAAGTTGATGAAAATTACTAAGATTGATTAATTAATTAAAAATATCAAGATCATAAAATATTTCTGACAAAATATTTTTTATAAATAGTACTAAAAATATTCAAACAATATGCATCTAAATTTGTCAGAATGATCCATTATGCCACCCATTGAGAAAAAAAAACAGTCAATAGACTATTTTAACTTCCAAGCTCAAAGAATAAGTGCAATAAAAGGAGGATTTAAGAAAATGGAAGGTTGGAGAACCATGATAAAACAGAGAAAATTGGTAGCAATGGTTTCACACATTTTTGCTTTTAGGCATTAGTGCTATGGAATCCTATATTGCCAAAGGTAGGTAGAAACAGAAATAAATAAAAACGATGTTCAATAGTTCTTTATAGTTTTGTTTTTCAGTACTCATTCAATGTGTTGAGTAGTGTTCATTTAAGACATATGCTATAACAAGTCAAGAAAAATTAAAATCTTTTTAACTGCCCAAGCTATGAATGAAGAAAGACAGAATAAAAAGGACATTGTTACTAACTTTGGTATCTCTTGCAGGAAGGATTTTATATCATTGTCATATTATAAGTTTGATGTATATGAAGATTCATGACTTAAAAAGTCTGTCAGCAGGTGTAAATCTTAATAATAATCTTAATAAAGTACATGACTTAATAATAATCATTTAACAAAATAAGTACAATACTTAACATTTCAAATATTGCAATCCACAATAACACAGGTCTTACAAAACAACCACAAATTCTTTGATATATATATATATATATATATATATATATATATATATATATATATATATATATATATATAAAATCATAATATATACAAGTAGGTAAATCTGTAAAAATTACTTTGAAACATTTTTAACAAACCTTTAATGCACTTTTTTGGCCTAAAATATTTTTAAAAAGACAAATTTTCTTTATTAGGATTGAAACTGTTTCTTAATAAATAGCTTTAATAATTAGAAAAAATAATTACTAACACAATAAAATTGTTTATCACAAAAATTCTAAAAACACTAAAAAAGGAATAGTATCGATTTAATGAATGTTACCTCATAAATAGGAAGACAGATGGAGTCAATAAAGTTGACTTGCATCATTGGTAACTGATCTTCTTTTTCTCTATTCATTATGTCCTGGAAAAGAAAATAATAATAACAATATACCATTACTTATATCAGAGGTTTCCAAACTTTTTAGCCCAAATGCTGCATTGAGACCTCGACTTAGTCCCGTGGGCCTCATTGAGACCTCTTGCAGACCATAGTTTAAGATGAAAAAAAAAAACCTTGTTCTGTAAATTCAACTGTGAAATGAGCTTTCTAAGAGGAAAAACACATGCAATAATTGTTGTAGAAACCTTACGTGTGAGTAATTGGCTAAATTTCATATTTTTTAAATTTTACAATGTAATCAAAGAAACTTTTGCGGGACGGATTGAAGGTTCTTGTGGGCCAGATAGAGCCAGCGGCTGTAGTTAGGATATTCCAACATTATACTAAGAGAATGGAAATATAAGATAAATTTAAAATTCATTGTACATCTATAAATTTTACATACTGTTCATGAGAACAATGCCAAATGATTTTATCCTAGATTACTATTTAAATAGGTTGAGGAATTTTTTATGACATCTAAAAATTCTAGATGGGAAGAATGCCAAACACATGAACTATAAAAAGATGAATTGGAGTACTGAGATCTAATGTTTGAATTTTTTTCCCCACGGAAATAAATTTGTGAATAACAAAAAGGCCAATATAATTTAAAATAACATGGTCAATTGGAAAAAATCAACTAAACATAGAAACTTACTGGCAATAACATACTGTTTTGAATCATTACTGTTGATGTTTTATTTCACAAAATATAAAAACTTACAATTGGAGTAATGTTGAGCTCATGCCTCTCCAAATCTCCTTGCTCAAAGAATTCACTTGTGACCAATTCTGCTACCTGAAATAAATATATTTTGTAAAAAAAATAGAATTAATGAGGAATGGTTATAAAATAAATAAACTTCTTATTGGTGTTTATCCAACCTAAATAACAAATAAATTACGGTTAAATAAATAAGCCAGTTACTAAACACAAATCAGGAATTTTTTTAATTTTCCAATTCAGTTAGTCTTATTAAAGCTTTTCTTTATGAAACAATTCTTTATAACTATTAAATAACAAAGTTTTAGGGAATCATTTCAAATACACTGATAACATATGAAGACAGAAAATAAACTGTAAGCAGTTGATTCAATTTGATTTACGAACTGAATACTATTTTTATTTACAAACTCAAATAATTTAGAAGTTAATAAAAAAAATAATAATGTGAATGACAAGAATGTATCCTAGTACAGTATTTATAAAAAAACTATTTAGATTAAAATGATATGAATTACAAAAACCCTTTGTTGAAACATCTTGTGTAGAGATAAAAAATGAAGTTTTAAGAGAAAAAGTGGACAAAGTTAACAAAACTATATATTACCAGATTATTAAGTGTATTGCTTTATTCACAGGTTTTAAAGTGAGGTGCTTACTAAGGTATAAAGGCTAGGCCAAGACAAGTTCAAGTATTTTGAAACAGTAACAATAATATTAAATAAAAATTAAAAATTCATATTTTAGAATTTGATATTACACACGATATTAATAAAAAATTGAAGAAATGAAACATGGTGGATAGATCATTGGCTGGCAAAAAAAAAAAAAAATTAAGTTATTTCAGACAACTTAGCATCCCAAACAAGACCCTCACACCTACTTTACTGTTCTTTTAAGGCTTACTGTGGGGCCAAATTATTTATTTAAATACATAAAAATGTTGCATACCCTTTTTTCAATATGCCAAGGTTTGGTGATAGCAGCTAAATCACAAACAGTCATCATCATAGCTCGTAAAAGCTCTCTTTCTTCTTCATTTTCCCAACTCCATTGCCCCTGGTTGACTAAAGCAAGAAAACTACCTCGCTTCCTACAAACGAAATTAATTTAAAAAAAAAATTATATCAAACTCCAATATATTTTATGATAATCCAATAAATATATAAAAATAACATGGTGAGGTTTACATGAAACAATATTTAAAAAAAATCAAATCTACAAATTAAAAATTATAGGTTTGTTTTATTATTCAGCATGAAATTTAATAAAATTTATAACTATAGTGAAACAAATAACTTATTGGATATTATCTCAGGAGTTTAAGCAACCTGGAAAAATTAAATAAACCTACTCCAGGTATTATAAATAAATATTATAAACCGAAAAAAATAAATTATCTACCTGAAATATACTGCTAAATCAGTTGAAAGAATTGCTTCTTCTAAGACTTTGATTACTTTGGAATAGTCATCTGGAGACAAGTTTGCCAAAATTTGATTTCCCTAAGAAAATAAAGAATAGTTCATAACAATTAAATAATTATAATTTATAGTAATTTTTATAGTAATTTATAATATTTTTTTCAATAAGCAATTTGACAGTATTATGACACATTAGGCAATTTTAGAATAAATTATACAAAAATTTTTATCGAACAATTAACGTCCAACAATGGTAGATTGAGATTATTATAAAATAACTTAAGATTTCTGTGAATCAGCTTTCAATAATAATTAAAAAAGTGGTATTTATCATATATCCAGATATTATTTTACAATGATCATACATTTAGAAAATAAAAAACATCATTTCAACTTAGATCTAATAATTTATCATATTCAGTTGGCCAGAATTAGGCCCATTGAGAAAATACATAAAAGCCATTTTCAATTGTGAATATTAACTGGAAATTTTCTAAATAAAATCAAAATATTAGAAAAAATTTTGTCCTTAACTAGAAAAACAGTGACCAGAAAACCAACCGATTCAGAATAGTTCTACATAAATTCAATAGGTTATTGAAAATGTGTAATAAAATGAAAAATTTACCTGACTGTTAAGAATCATAAGGCATTGGTCAAAATGATGGTGTTCCATTGTTGATGTTGAATAAAGCTGTGCAAGTGGTGATGATGCTCTAAAATAAAATTGAATAATTAATTTAAAACAAAACTTTTTAAAATTTACTAGATTATTCTTCAATAACTTATCCCATTTATAACTCTTAAAATGTAATTGTAATCAGTAAATTTAAGTTTATAATAACAAAAAATATTTTGAAATGCTGAAACGCAAACAGCAATAATTTTCATATTGTACAAAATTTATTGAATATAATTAGCAATATAAATGTTTCAAAATGTATTTTATTTATCCAGCTATTTTTATTTAATGGAAGCATAAGGAATTTTATTTTATTTCAATGAAATGATAATTTTAAGGACGTAGAGTAAAAATTAAATTTTAATTTTTTTATAGAACTTCAGTATTTAAAATATTAGATTATTTTTAGAGTTAATTGTAAAAATTAAAGCATAGCAATAAATGTAAAATAAAAAGAGAAAATTAATTTAAAAAAATGGTTACATTCACAACATAAATAATAATACATATAATATTTTATTATAATAATTTTCAATATAAAAGTAACTTTTCCTAGTAAAATCAATTCTATGACATTTATATAAGTAAATAAAATAAACAACTACTTTAAATGAGTGGACTCTATATTCAGTAAATAAAAAATATATATGAACAATTTGAATAACAAAGTACAAAAAAATTACTTTATTTGGAAGGAGTTGTTTGTTCCCCTATGGTCTAGGTCATGGCACAAGCAAGCTATAATGAGAGCGAGGCATTCTATATCACCAAATATCTTCCACCACTGTGTAGCCTAAAAACAGGAACAATAAACAGAACCAATTATTTATAAAGTAAATTATAGAATACAATGAGCATTTATTTGCTAGAAAACTATTTATAAATTAGCAATTAATTATTATCGCAAACTTTTGATTAACTACTTTTTAAACAACCCATTGTTGCTGATGAGTGATACAAACAGATTGACAGTAAAAGATAACTTATAACAATAAAGGATGATGACCATTTTCTCTCTACATTAATGTAACTAGTTTTTCAATATATGTATATATATATATATATATATATATATATATATATATATATATATATATATATATATATATATATCCAATCATTAAAAATAATACCATAAAAAAGTTGGTTTAACTTGAAGCTATAATATTTATTCTCATGTTAGAAACTAAACAGAAAAGTAATATTTTTTTAGTAAGAGGGTGAAATTGGAATAACCAAATTAAATCATAATATTGTGTTTTTAAACATTCTAAAAGCTAGATTTATAATGCTGCAGCTGAATATAATGATTATTAAAAAATGCTTTGGATAAAATGTAGCAATTAAATAAAATAATTACAATATGAGTGATGATTACATACTAATAATATTATCAGGATAATAATATTATCCTTTTATTATTATTAAACAACAATAAAATGAACAAGTTTTCTAGTTGAACTTTACCATGAGAATAGAGAACATCATTTGGGCTACATTGAAAGCATGCCTCCAGTTATGATATGTAACATTTCTATAGTTTTTCTTCACTGACAGCAACCACCGACAGAGGACTTCATAGTCAATACTGAACCTTTCAACAAAGTCCAGTTCTAGGAACATTCGGAGGCAGGCCTAAAAAGACAAAACTTCCCATTATTAAATAGCCGATTAAGTAATTATCATATACAACTGCCATTCATTCCTACAGATAGAAAAAATATGTTTTTTTTTTTTAGAGAAATGTTAGCAATTGTTAATAAAAACAAGCTTTTAAAATAAGAAGAGAAAAATACATTTTAATTTCTTGAGTTTCTCAAACGATTATGGAAAACCTTTTAAGTATGAAAACTTAAACTTAATTATCCAGCATTTAATCAACCTGTTAAAAATTAACTAAAATAGACATTTATCCTTCAGAATAAGGATAATTTCACTGTAAATCATTTATTTGAATTTTTAAAAACATATTTTTTTAATACAATGCTATTACATAACTTGAGGAACATTGTAAAAATTATTATATAAGGTTGGCTATCAAGATATGAGTCATTTTTATATTTTGTGAAACATGTTTTTCTTATTGCTATGGTTTACATTCCATTATATTTTTTATGTATAACATGCTCTGTCAAACTGCTGACCATTAGCTTGAGAAAATATCATCAAAGTATGTCCGTTTTCTGTGACAATTTTTTTCACTTTTAAACCAATAATACTACAAAATACACTAATTTATTATCAGAAAAAAAAATAGTTACCGTCAAAGTATCATCATCTGACATATGCACATCATCAAACTTGAAGTCGTACAAACCAATACTTTGAGCAGATGGAACCCTCAAAGACTGAAAAAAAATTAAAAAAAAAAAATCAAAATAAAAAATTTACTTAACTGGCACAATTAAAAATAGCTATAGAACTTAAAATGGTACTAGTTACTTCAGTTTCTTAGTACTTCAAGATAGCAGTTGGGTTCAAGATTACCTCAAGCACATTGTAGATGGAATACCAAGAAATTTCAAAAGCAGCAGAATATTGACAATCATATTTATATATAATGAAAGAAGTGTCCTGATGAGATAATTTGGCCTAAAGTGTACTGGAAGTGATTTACTGAGAAAAAAACTTCTGTTTTTAATGTTTTTGACACTATATTATACACTATAAAATATTGAAAAATGAGCTAAAAATGTAACTATAATTTTGATTACAATACGGCTTCAATTGTTAATATTAATTTGATTTAATTTTTAACATTGTAATTATTGTTATTTTGCTTCATAATCCGAAAGAGTATAGGGTGACCTGATTTTTGCAGATAAAAAACATATAAATTATTATGTTTCTTTGAACATACTCACTGACCTATTTAACCATAACCCAATAAGGTCTTATCGCAAATTGTCTGCTAAAAAAGTTGTGAATTAGTTATTTCTTTTGACTATTGGACAAATTTGGGTAATATCAGTACTCTATCTATGTTGTACCCAAAGTGACCGAGAAAAGAGCCGCATGGAGTACCATTTAGGAACTAGTAACCATAAAACTTGTTAATCTAAAATTTACAATAATAAAAAAATGCAATCAAATTGAAGCATTTGATTATAATTAAACTGCCATTGATACTTAGTGCTGACATCTGTTATTTAACAGCTAAAACGGATTTTTATTTCCCATTGAGGCATTGATAAAAATTGAAAAATAATTAGTTAAATAAGTCCTTAAAATGTGGGTATGTTTCTGATGGAATCTTTTTTTTACTAAAAAAATTCAGTTAATCCTTAAATAATAATTAAAAGATAAATATTCACCACATCATAAAGGTTATTTAAAAAAATATACACCTTGGGGCATGCAGTAAACTACAATTTTGATGGTTGCTATCTTAAGTAATGTGAACCAATTAAATATACGCTGACAAACTATAATAGCTTCTGGAGAATTGTTTGGGATATTTCAGTGTTGCAAAGACAGGCAATCAAGACAACCAGTGCAGTTAAGATATGGTCTATTAAAAACCATAATTATTATTATATTCCATTTCTATCATTTATGTCCCAATCTGCCACAAAATCCCGTTGATTGTGCAATATCTGTATCGTTAGTTTAAAATTAAATTTTAGCAATCTGAATTAAACTTTTTCACTTAACAAGATGGATATCAAGACAGAATCACTTAATAAATATTTACAAATTGAAAGATTTTGGCTAAAGAATGTCAAATGTCATCTTTATGTAAAACAAAAGAGCAAAAATACAAAAATATACATCAATTTAATGTTAGGATATAATGTAAAATTCCTAAACAAAATCTTGAGTCTCTAAATTGCATGAAAACAATCTAAACCATTAGCATATGTTTGAATGTCATGGAGAGATATACTATTTCTAGCTCATGCTTTTTTTTTTTAATGTTGTTGCTGAGAAATGTGCTCTATTTTGTCTGAAAGTTGAATTAGGTTGTTTCTGTCTCGATGATGCCAGGATTGATTGTTGATAGATCGTTTATTTATTATAATTATATATTTTATATTTACTTTAAATTTAATATGTAAAAAGATACTCTAATAAAGCCAGTTCTAATATATGGCTGCGAGACCTGGACACAAACAAGCACCCTAGAAAAAAATGTTGAAAGATTTGAGAGGAAAATCCTCCATACGATAACCGGAGCGATCTGGGATCAGAGTACTAACACATGGAGAAGAAAGACTAATAAAGAACTGCTTACAGAAACTGATCAATCAACATTTCATGATATGAAAAGGTAGGGAGGTTAAAATGGGCGGGACGTGTACAATAGATCGTAGAAACCCAACTGGAAGCCTCTACATGACAATGAATGCCTCAATAAAAGGCAAAAGACCATGTGTAAGGTAAAAAAAGTAGATGGATAGATAGAATCAACAAAGATGCAATAGAGCTGCATTCAGATAAATGGGAAAAATAGCCCAAGACAGGCAGAAATGGAGCAGGCTTGTTAAGACGGCAAAAGATCTAAATATTCTGTAATGCCAACAGAAAAAAAAAATTGTATTTTATTTATCATTGTTTATATTGATAGCTTATTTTGTTTACCTGTATTTTAGAGACTATAGGTATAGGGTATTATTGGAATATTCTAATAGTATTTTACCAAAGGTCAGACAAATAATAATTGCACTTATTTATTTATTTATTTTTAATAAAAACAATTCCTAACCAAGAAGTATTTCATTGTAGTAGTGGCAACTATAGTTGGAAAACAGTTTCCTTATGATAAAAGTCCCATGGTATTATCAAAATAATAATAACATACAGTAACCCATATCAAATGTTGATTAGTAGGGTTTGGCATTTAATTTGTGGCCAGGGTATGTTTAATAGGTTCACTAATATCATCAATCAATCACATCAAGTAATTGAAAATTATAGATTTACAAATTGGAAAAACTAATAATGAATCTTAAGCATAAACAAATATAAGAAGAATAGTAGCATATGCAGTCCCCTAATACATGTTTTATGAATAAATTAATTTCTTAAGAATCTATTTAGATCCAAATACTTACTCTTAACCGAAAAGCATCTTCTAATGAAGCTGTAGCATGGTAGGATAGGACATCTAGGGTAACAGTTTGTTTAGCCATAGCTATCACAGCCTTTTCATACCTGTTAATGATGAATATAATTATGATCGGAATATACTGTACATATTTACATGAATCTAAATAGATAAGTGGAAGGTGTTGTTATGATTTTAGTCTAATGTTTTAAAATGAAAAGTAAGTTGTATATTGATACAAAATTTCCTTTAAAAACAACACAAATTAAATAGCTATCTACACCAACTGACATATTTGAATTTAAAAGTACTAAAAATATACCAACTATCAACATTAACATTTGAAAAAGAATTGAGAATTTAGTAGGAGAAAAAGTAAATCATATTTGAATAAAAAAAAGACTGTTTCCCCCCCTCCCCTTTAATCTCTTAGAAATTCAATAAGTAGCAAAATTTTATTTATTTTTGATAAATCTCATAGATAAAACAGGAATTCGTCAAACTAGAAGAGTGACGATGATGTTTTTAAAGATTAAGGAGATATCACTGCTGGAAAAATCAGTATTTATTTTGTTCAGGAGTGATGCTGAGAAAAAGTTATGCAACAATTGAATTGTATATTGTAATAATAATTAACTGTATTGAAGTAATTTAAGAACTTCTAATATATTGATCTACATTATATAAAGATTATTTCCAAAATTAAAAGATACTTACATGTGTGTGTTATGGATTCCCATTCCACAAAATATGGCAAAAGCTTCAACAAAGTTTTCATCATTTTTGGAAAATGGTAAGTCATCAAATTTATTAATGAGCTGTTGCATAAAAATAATACAACATAATTAAATAAATAGAAATAATAAAATTACTACAAGTAAAAATCACTATACAGTTTTAAGATGACCAACCTGTATAACTCCAATAATATCCCCTAACGAATTTTTGATTGGCATACAAAGGATTGTCTTGTGCCTGAATCCTGTACCTTCATCCACCCCTTTATCAAATCTACTATCCTCATAAGCTTCATCAATGTTGATTGTCTACAGAAAATAACTTTAAGTTAATTATTGTATATAATATGGGAGTAAATGAATGATCAATATTCTTAAACTACCGAGTAAAACACAAATGTATAGCACTACCTCACCAGTTGTAGCTACAAGACCAGTGATTCCGATGTTGATTGGAAACCGGCTCTCAAAAGGGCTAAAACATAAATAGTCGTGGAATTAGTTATATTTATTCATAAAATTGCTTAAAATATAAAAAATAAATACGTACAATAAAATAAAGTATCAAAAGCGAAAAAATAAAGACAATCATCAGCAGTAATGCAAACAGCATAAAGAACAAATATGTAATATGTACTTTGATGTTTGTATTCAAATTTTGTGTTAATTTATAAATCAGTAATTTTAATAAATTATAGCATTTTATTTGGTTTCACGGTTTAATTTTTGAGAATTTTAAAATATTGCCTTCCATAAGTGCATAATTACAAATGATATTGACAGACTGGATTGTCAGAGTATATATAATTAAAAATAATTGCTAATGTAATGATATTTGAATAAGTATATTCTAAATATACATTACTACGAATTCTTCATATTGGTTTTAACAGATATAAAAAATCTCCATAATCCTTTCTGTTTTGATCTGAAGACTACAGTGGACAAACCAGTTTACCTAATTAATTTAACCATTAAAAATAATTAATAAGACTTATTATAACTTTAAATGTATGAAAAAATAAAGATGGGCAGTGGAGGAGAAAAACTAGACCATAAAATGTTGAATAAATATTCAGCAAATAAGAAAAGAAACAGGTTATACAAGTGCTACCTAGAAGAATTCTGTACCCCCTTTTAAAGTTTATAACTTTAAGACATCCCATATTTTCTAGTAACTTTAAATTTTTTCTAGTAAATGATTAAGTCCTCAATTTCAAGTATGGATCTTAATATTTCACTGATTAAACAAGATAACCATGAATTAAATGGAAGAAAAACAACAGATAGATAAATTTAATGTTCCTTACATGCCTATTGCTTAAAATTTATGATTCCTAAATAAATGTGAGGTAATCTAAAACACTTGAAAGAGTTTGTGCAAAATCATCACAGAAACATTTTGCAAGTATTCTTTTCTTACTGATAAATACCAATTGGTTATTTATTAATAATCAATAAAATAAAATTCAATTATTTCTTAGGTCATTGATTTTTATGTATTAATCCATACCTTAAGATATCAATTCTTAAACATATATTTGATTCTTTTGGAGCATGTATCATGTTTGTAATATTTCTAATGATTCTTTATGAGCTTATCACTGAGTCTGAAGAATATTATTGCATTATTTATATTAAATTAGACACATTGAATTTTGTTGTCGAAAGTGGCAATCCATTTTTTTTTAATTATCTGATCCTCAACCAGAATTTATAAACATAGTAAAACTTCCTTCACAGTTACAGCAAAGTGTTTAAAGTAGTGATTTGAACCGAATACAACCATAATTTGAAGATTTTGGTGTGTATATGTGTTTCTACGAAGCGATAAAGCTAATTACATTTTGTGTCTGTGTCGTCACCTTGTTCTCTCCTCGTGATCCCTCTCAGATAGATCATTGGCTTCAAAATCGAATACTCGTGAAAAACTACCCATGTTTGGTTTGTGCAACAGCAATACCTAAAAGATATGGTAAATTATTTTAAATTCATATCATTAATAATATATTATGAAAAAACTGACTAACATTGTATTAAATAAAAAAATTAATTAATTTTACTTACTTGGACCCTTTGGCATTGAATGAGTGACTGTGTGTGGGTTAGGATACGAAATACCATGTGCTCAATTGTGCTTTGTTCCTCAAATATCATGCGCGCTAGATCTAGAAGAACCTTTAAAATCGATCATTATTTAGCGCTATTATAAAAATAATAAATAAAATAGAAAATTATTAAAAGCAGCAATTGATAATTTAGTAAATTCTATCTGTTTTTGAGAATTAAATTAGATTATCTCAAATTTATCAGGCTAGTATATCAATGAGAGAATGAGAAGTAAATAACAACTGTTTAAAAATTATTTACCTGATTTCTTTTGACTTCAAGCTGACTCTTTTCATACAACTGGGCATTGCGGAGACCAATACCACAAAACTGAAGGTAACTAGAGAAAACCTTTTCATCGTTTTCCGTGAATGGCAATTCTCCTTCTTTGTTAATGACCTACCATCATCATTACATTTGATAACAAATACACTATTAATACATTAATTTTTAATGATATTAACCTAAAAGAGACATATAATAACATTCATTTAAATAATATTATAGTCTACGAAAATTATAACTATAAAATAATTCTTTATCAATTAAGAAACAAAACAAATAATATACCTGAGCAACACCAATCACTTCCCCATGAAGATCTTTAATAGGCATACAGAGAAGTGATTTCGTCCGATAACCAGTTCTAGCATCCACTTCCTGATTAAACCTGTCATCCTGTACATACAATATAAATTTTAATTTAATCAGTATAATTTAGAAATAAATTTAATCTAGAATTTCATCAGTACAGCTATATTAAAAATAATAAATTAACTGAAAACCAGTAATGATAAACATTATTTAAAAGATCATTATGAAAAAAAATGACATTAAGATGATTTTTTTTTACAGAAAACTGATATGGAGAAAAAAAATTTAAAAATCAAATAGATAAGAAAAAAATCTGGTGCGTGCAACACACAACATTCACTTGCCGCTTAACTTTGAATAGAAATTATATTCTGGCCATGTTGGGCTATTATAAAATTTTTGAATTGCATTTTTTACTGAGCTAAAGCTAAAAGATTACAACTAACAAATCATAAATACTATTAAAATAACTAAAGTCCTATTTATTATATCACCGGTTAATTATGGATTGTACGATTCGTTGATTATGGATTGTACAATCCGTTGATTATGGCTTGTATGATTCGTTGATTATGGATTGTACGATCCATTGATTATGGATTATACAACTATTTGTTATTAAACTGTTATTTTCCATTGCAAAGTTTACTAAAATGGAATCGAGAGATTTGGATTGTCTGTCATAGACAGGTTGTCACACTGATTGTAATTGGATTCTGTTGGAATATCGCAAAGGGAAAATTGATCAAATTATTCACTAATTTAATTTTCTAAAAGATTGCATAAAGATTTTTCAGAATAACAGACGATAGATATCTAATTATTTAAATATAATATCAGATCTAGAGTTATTAAACTACAGTAAATATATTTAAGGTTATAAAAGTATTCATGAAATATTTTTATATTTCACTTCTTCTTTCACACAACTACAATGAAATAGTATCTTAAACAATGTCATTGCCTTGAATCGGTGGGTATTAAATACTTTCCAAACTTAAAAAAAAATTTAAAAGTTCACATTTAGTTAGTAAATTTCATTTAATTCCGTGTGATTTACGTTAAATATTATTAGTTTTAAACAAATATTACTTATAATTTTTTCGTCACTCTCCATTACCTTCTACAACTTTCTATATTAGATATTGTGCTTTCTAAAATTCTCCGCTTTCCAATGATATATATTATACATGTACCTTCTGACTGTTATTTCCAGAGATACATTTTTGACCTGGGTAAGCATTTTTTTTTTCTCCATTATTCAATTATCAAATTCTTTCAAAATTTAAATTTAGCATTTTTTCGTGACTTTTAATAATGAGAGATAGTTAATTATTTGAAATGAACCATATTAGTCCTTTAGAGGAAGACGTATATGAACATTGGGCATTTAGGCCCTGTAAAGTTACATCAAGGGGGATAAGACCTAAATGATATTAAAGATTGCTTAATTATACAATGATACACCGAGTTTAATCAAAATCGTTAGAGCCGTTTTTGAGAAAATTGTAAAAATGTGTTTCACCGTTGATATAAAGTGCCACTTCTGGTTAGCCAATTTTAAGAAAAAGTTGCTATGACATCTAAGGTATATATCTATCTTAAATACGTAATATCAGTTTTGTATGACTTTTTGTTTTCGAGCTGGAGTGTTCACATACACACAGACACACAGAATATTTTGCAGGACTTGGTTAATTGGACTCAAGGTACCTCAAAACGTGTATTTCCGTTGAAAACTAAGATTCGAAAATTTTCACAATCACAATACTTACCGTTACTATATATATATATATATATATATATATATATATATAGGTAAGTGAAAGTAATAAATAGATAAAAGGAATGTGATTCTTCCTCCCATGTTGACCCAATTATTTTGAACATCTACAGTTATATTTATACTCCTTTATAAACTTGAATTGTTACAACTTTTTAAAAAACTAAAAGTGGCAATAATCATTGCTTAAGACACACACACATACCAATATTCATTTTACATTTTTTTTTGTATTGACAACTCAAATACTAATTATAATCAGGAACATTCTAAAAGAAATAATAATTACAATTTTAGATTAATCCAAAACTTTTCAATCCATATTTTCATGTTTTTAATGGCATTTTGTTTTTTAATTTATCACATTGCCATCTTTGCACATGAGGTGATCTTCATAGTCTACATAAAATGTAGGTTTAAAAAAAAATATGATAATAGAATACCTTGTAGGCATCGGGAATGTTAAGGGGTTTGCCAGTTTCTGCAACATGACCAATGATACCAGTTCCCCAAGGAACCCGGATTTCTTCTCTGTTTTCGACCTCTTCCAATGTTGATCGGGAGCAAACATCAAACAGCTTTGATACCAAGCACCTAGAACAGCTACTTTAGTAGTTTTATGGTACAGTTTTTATCAACAAAGTACAGAAATAATGATATTGATCACTAATATAAAATTAAAAGAAAAGACTATCAACATACCAATACATTTTAACAAACTAAATATATTTTAAATCATATAAGAAAGAATTTATAAAAAAATTATAAAAGATGTTTTGATATGATGAATAAAAGTTTTGTAAGAACATGGGTTAATATTAAGTAACAATGATATACTAAAAAAACAACCTGTAGTGACAGCCCTGGGATGCTGGAGAGTTGGCAGAAATAGGGAGGCATCCAACGGGTCGGAAAGCAGAACCGGAAGAGCCGGCCCTCGTACCTCCTTGAACCAGGAACAGGGAGCCCCGATCAGCTCTCAGGAGGGTGGAGACATTTTGCAAGATCTTATGGCACAATGAGCGAACATCCAGGTCATTGCAGATGTCCTTCACCTGAGAAAAAATTTAAATTAACTTCATAAATCTACATTTATGAATTTAATGCTTAAATTTAAGCAACATAAATGTACAAGATTTCTTAAGATCAATATATAATGATAAGACTAAAATCCTTTTTGAGATTTTTATAAGATCTCTTTCTCTCCTAATTTTATACTTAATATTATACTTGAATTTTAAATGGCTGAGAATGTCTGCCTCCAACAGCTGCTTCTCATTTTTTTGTTTTTATTAAAATAACCAAACAAGTAAATATGAATTAATATAATGACTTGGACAGAATTGTAGTAACACTCCAATAGTAGTTCTATATCAGTAGGTTCTGAGGCCATCTTCTTTTCAGATGCCTGGGTGGATTTTCAGGAATCGGACAGGATGCAAGGTTAGAAACTAGTAGTTTTAAATGGGCCTGAAGTTTACTAAGGATAGGTATCTGAATTAGTCTAAATCGACAAAATATTTAACATAATGGTCACTATGGATAATTTTATTTGTAAAAAATTAAGGAGCGTTGAAGATTTTGTGAAGGATTAGAGGTGTCTGATGGTTAAGTAGAGCCCCAAAGCTCAACTCTATAAGTCCAAATAGGCATTATTATTGTCATGTAAATAAATCTTATAAAGTCAATTAGAAGCTTAGAAGGTTTTTCTAGTACGTGTTGAAGAAGCCAGAAATGTCTATCAGTTTCAGTTTTGTATTATTGATTAAAACCAAAATTTTTTATAACTAATATTCACTCTCAATCCTCTAGCGCAATCTCTTTCCAGCTCCGAGCATCCATACCATCCCCCTCGAAGGTTGAAACGGCAGTTGCCTCGAGATCTTTTGTAAATATGCCTTTGGAGTCGCTTCTCCACTCATGTCCTGAGCGTCTGTGGCTCTAGTGCCCTCTTTCAGTCTCCACTGGCTTCTAATACTAGTGATGCGACTGGAAAAGTCGCACTGGAATCTTCCGGAGTCTTGCTTTGCCTTCCACGTGTGGGGGAAAAAGCCTGGCTCGGAGATTCTTGGGCGAATGTATATATTGTATATAGTTATGATTGTGTTTAGAAGTTTTTATTTTATTTTATTTTTTTATTTTTTTTTATTTTTATTTACCTTCTTCATCAGTATTATTTATTTACTTCTTATATTTATATCTCTTTCTTTATTATTTGTATATATTGTATGAATGAGAACTTTTAGCCCTAATGCTTATAGCCCTCCAGCAATGGCTGGTTGTATTATTATTCAATAAATAAAAAAAAAAAAAATATTCATTCTATTCACCAACAGAACTAAATTAATTTAATAAGAAAATTCATCGCAATGAGTATATTTTCATGTAACCAAATAAAAAAAAATTAATCAAATAATAATAACTTGGCTGTCACGTACAGTTTACAATAGCTACTAAAGATCAATTATAATAAAAGTTACATTGAATAAAATATTTTATGGTTATTTTCATATAAAAGTAAGTATTCTTATTATTATTATATTTCTTCCTCATTAAGTGCCTTTCAGCAAGGAGGATCCTCCAGCAACTTTGGCCACAAATTTCAGTCTCTTACAAATTTCATCAACTGAGCTTGGGTTTTCTCACTTTTCTGACCTTGTTCTTGGATTTGTTTTAAGTATGTTATTCTAGGCCTGCCTAGTAGTCTCGCTTCCATACACTTCTTCAATTCTCAGTATTTGTCTGGTTATGACTGTAGCCAGATGTGAAAGGGAATATGAGAGATGTAAGAATGTTATGCGCTGGAGAACGTGGACCATTATACCTACCTTAGAACAATTTTTAACAAATCTGGGAAAACAGACCAAGAAGAGTCCAGTAGAATAAAGAAAGCAAAACGTTTAAAATGAAGAACCTTAAAGTAAAATAGAAACAGTTATGTAAAATTGAAACCTGAAATAAGCGTTTCTGTAATCTGTCAAGTTTTCTTTGATTATCTTTCAGTGGTATAGAAATATGAATCTTTTAGTAACTTTTTCATTTCTTATCAATATATTAACTGAAGATGACTCTCCGAAACTGATAGAACAAGAACTCACCAATTCGAAGAGTAGCTCCCGTTCTTCGAGGCCGGAGAGGTCTGTCCTCGGGCCGGATCTGAGGGGCTCCTCCGAGTCGGCAGGGACAGAGAGGAAAGTCGGGGTTCCGTCGACGCGGGTGACCAGCGGCTTCACTACCCTCTCGAACTCGTGGGCTGAGATCTTCCTGACAGGGGTTGCGGCTCCGGAGCCAGGGCGCTCCCCGGGGCAGTTCCCGCCTCCAGAGTGCGACAGCAGCCACGAGTCCACCATCGTCCGCGTCGCCTTCCTACAACAGAAGATCGAAAAGTTTTGTTATGGTAAAAAGATTAGGTTAGTTACGCACGAATGCAAACTCTAAAAAATCTAAGACACTTGTAAAATATAAATCCTATTCAATGATGACTAGGGACCATTCGCTCCCAGCTAAACTTACATTATCTGAAACAATTACTGGAATTATTCTTCTGGCAGGTCCTCCAGGGTATGTGTTGGTTTCTCTTTCAGTAAGAAGACGAATTTAATATTCTTGATTAATAATTTGACCTTCAGGATCCCAGTAGAGATGCATAATCTTAAGTACATCGGGGGGAAAAAAAACATTGCTTTGAATTTTTATTTGATAGTAGGGCTCTTCTAGTGCATGGATTGGCGCTTCGTTTCAAGGTCACATAGAAAAATCATGATTCATCAATGTACATTAAAAAGAAATAGATTAGAGCTCGTTGAAGCTGTGAAAGAGAAAGCGGAACGTGTCTTGAAGGAGCTGACAGGAAAAGACTTCCAGCATTTTTTTTTAGACAATGGGAGATTCGAATGGAGGGTTGTAGGAATAGAGGAATGGTGCATATTGAAGGTGATAAGTAATTACTTACTGTACATATTTATGTATGAAATCAAAATAAAATATTTTACAGGATCAGTCTCGTTATTTAATAGCCACCCACACCTATGATGTACCATATGTCTGTGTAATTATATTAGCAAAAATATGTAACAGAATAGATGGAACATGTAAGAAAAATACCTTGAAGATTAAAATAAAAAAAGGGAGATAGTCAGGAAAAAATCAGGAGAATTAAAAAAAAATTAAAATTGTTTAATAATTTATTAATCTAACAAATTTTCATAAATGGTTACAAAAAATCCCACCGCCCTAAGTTGCCGCCTTTTTGAGAAAAAAAACAGCTATATTTTTCCGTTTTTCCCAAAAGATCTTTAAAGCATCAGTTTGATATATTCTATATAATATATAAAACTATTCTGATAATTTTTTTTAATGTCAATAATTATCTACATTTTTAGTCCAATACGAAACTTGTAACCGTAATACATGCCGAAACAAAATACTTTAAATTATAATAATTGAACCCAGAAATATGAAGTCTAAATTCCAAAATGGTTATTGACCAGTTGCAACTAAATAATCAATCCTACGACAAAGTTTGACGTAACACTTTAGCTGTCGAGAAAAATACAGGAAGTTTAAGACGAAAGGCATTCTTCCATGTTGTATAGACACACAGGTATATTGAATTTTTTTAAATAAAAGAATAATTGGTTACAATTCAGCTAACATTACAAATGGCACATTTTTAGCACTTCTGTCAATTTATTAAAATGTAAGAATGAATTTGCAAATACATCATGAATAACCAAACAATATAAGTACACCTTGGTGACATTTTAAAAAAATAAAGAATGTAGTTCACTTATCTCAAGTAATTTTCTTTTACCATTTGCTCCCTAACAACCATCGGTGGGCTTCTAAGTTATTGTGTTTAACCAATCACATCAACCGATGTGTAGCATCAAAATGAATATGCAACATATCGTGTAGAAGATTCAAATCGGCAGATGTCGACCCAGATAACATTAAGTGGTCGGAGAAACGATAGCATTTCTGCATTCCCTCCTAGTCAGCAGTCGTGTCAGCAGCGGCTGGGGAATGTGCTACTGCAACTGTGAGAGCAGCATTATCAAAATCGTGTTTCTAGGTCACTTCCAACGATAGGAAAATAAGACTGACCATTGTCATACTCGAAACTACTTCGTCGACATAAGTCAGCGAGCAGAATAATGAATGGAGTTCTTATAGGGATGAAGTTTAAACGGTAAATTTAGTTCTTTTCAAACGTAAACGAAAGCCGCTGAAGAAGAGGATGATGATAAATAAAAATGTTAATATTATTTAGTTTCAAATTGACTCTAGAGAATATTGTTTAATTTAATATTTTATCTATCTATTCAGGTTATGGCCTCGTTTGAATTGAATATTTATTTGAATTTGATTTGAATATTTATTTGACACCTCGCTTAGTAGTGAGAACCTTTCGGTCTACAGAACTAAATTCATCTACTCGATTCTCACTCTTTATATAAAAGTCCTTAATAGGGTATTCGTAAGAATTTTCAATTTTTATTCGTCGAAGATTACGTGGTAAGAATAAAATCGCAAAAAAGGTCCATTTTTTAAAATGGATATTTGCAAACATAAGTAGTGTTAAAGAAAAGTTGTGGGGGCGGAATTACTCGACGGGAGTGAAAACACGGCTAAGTCATGTCTTCGATTATCTTATACTCCTGTTTTCAATTTCAAAATTTCCACCTAAGTTTTTCCTCGTACTTTGTCGTCCCCGAATAAAAAATGCTTAAAACTTATTTTATTAGCTTTTATTAAGTAGAGCTGAGATATAATCGAACAGCATCGTGCGGTATATGTTATGATACAGTCTCAGGCCACACCTCCAGTCTCTACTACACCTCCGAGTGATTTATATTTTAAAGTCTTTAGCTCATATGAACTTCTTTTTTTGTTTAAATGTGCAATATTAATTGTATATAATAAGCTAGTTATCACCTGAATTCTATCGCAGTTCACATTTACTCGATTTGTTTCGTATGCCTTAAACACCCTACTCTATTCGTTTTCGTCTAGCTTGTCATTTCTTAATATCTTGAGTGGACTGCGACTCCTCTTCACTGGACATTATAGAAGAGATGTGAAATAAATACTTGTTACAAGACTATGGCATATAATGTAAGTAATTAGAAATATTGGACAGATTAAAACATGCCAATCAATATTTTAACTATTTAACAACTAACCTAGTTGCTGGTCTTATTAATTTTTTTTTTATTATTATTTTTTTATTTATTGAGTAATATAACATTCTATCACATGGGCAATGGTTATAGTGAGATAAGGCTACATTCACACTATATATATATATACAGAAAAGACAAAATATACCGAAGCAAAATAACAACTAAATAATAATTAAAGAGTTTTTTATAAGATAAGCAAATTTAAAGAAAAAAAAACTAAGGCGTGTGCTTCAGACCTCACGATTGTGAAAACATCAACAAGGCAAGTTAAATAATATGAAACATACATTATAAATAATAGTTCATTACAAAGACGACGAAATTCTGAGCATTTTCCTCGCTTACAGTACACAGATCTGATTTTTAGTACCTGAAATATTTTAATCCACATGTTCAACTAACCTTATCATTTGGTTTTCAACACTATTTTTCCCTTTTCCCCTCCCTAACACGACGTCGCGTTAAGATACAATTTTTAATCATAGCCTATTACAGAGAGGATGAAATGCTGCACAATTTCCTCGCTTACAGTATGCAGGACCGATTTATAGTTTCTCAGATATTTTAATCCATGTGTAAAAATATTTTAATTAGTCGACTCTAGCCGACTTTACCCGAGCGTTAATGCCGAACGAAATCTGACAGATCAATCTAATTCACCCTCCACGAAAAAGTGCAAAACGTGCCTAAAATATTTTCACTTCAAGAGACATCGAACACAGACATACCTATATACACTATTTACAAACCAGCTTATACCTCCAACTATTGAGAGAAAATCAGGACTCCAGGAGAGGTTTGATTCAACATATTTTAATTATAATTTTTTTTTTTATTATATCCCACTTCCATTACGAAACTTTTTTTTCATCAATCTAAATTTTTCAACACTCATTGTTAAATACACAAAATCTGTTTTTGCTTTATGATCGCGAAAAGTGGACATATTTCGTTAATCACAATGATTCATTTAAAAATTATAAGATGAAACAAACACTTGTTCATAACCGTAACGACGCTAAACTGATCTCCACCCGTACTAAGAATGAATAAAATTATTAATAACAATATTATAAAAATTAGAAGTTGTCTGTATGTTTGTCGAAACGTAAAGTAAATAAAGTATATTAAAGCCAGACATTAGACAAATATGTAATAATGCACAAACTTATCATCTTATACAAATGAAAGTACAGGCATTATATAATACTTATACGTAACTGAATTATGTTTTATACCATATGAAATGTGTAATTTAAACTAAATGTAATTTAAACTAAAAAAAAAATGCAGCAAATTTAACAATAATAAAAATCACTATAATCAACACGTCCAATATTATTTACTTGAGAAGCATTTAATGTTTGGTTCAAATTAAAAGTCAATTTATTTAAAAAAAAAGTCACAATTGTCGACATTTTTTTATTTATTTTGACAGCTAAATAATATTCAGGGTTTGTTACATGTGTATCAAGGACTTGTAAAAAATAATTGTATCCATTTCTATGGCATCTTTGTTTATTCAATCTACCCGTTTGCTTTTTGGTCTTCCACGTGGTCTTTGCATTATAATCAGGCATTCGTTTGGATGCTCCGAGATACATGCCCCGCCCATCTTGTTCTCCGTGCCTTCATATCATGAGATATTGATTGATCAGTTTCTGTAAGAAGTCCTTTATCTCCTTGATCTTTCTTCTGCATGTGTTAATATTCTGACCCCAGATCGCACTGGTTATCGAGCAAAGGATTATTTCAATACTATTAAATTTCAGAGAAGCACGTATCATACAAACTAAAGTTAGATATATTGTCTCATTATACTAAGGGAATAAATTAAAAATTATTAATTATTCCTGCCAATTATTTATATTCCAAAGGAAGCCTAAAAAGTATATAAAAGAAGGAGGCAGCCAATAAAAGTTGGTTTATTTAGCCAATAAAAGAGCGGCTTTGTAACAAACCCTCAAAAGGAATAAATTACCGAGGTTTTTTATTCTCTTAGCGGGCTTATCCGACGCTCTAGAATTTCAAATTTTGCTTCATTACTGCCGACTTTTCTGTTTCCACAGGAGATTAACAACTTCTTTATGCTCGGCATCAAGAATTTCCACTCGTTTGTTACATTTCAGACATCAAGGAACAAATTTGGTTCCGTAATGTCTGCCTGCAGTAAAAATCCAT